CCTGTCACAGAAGGCAAGGCAGTCCATTCCAACCGCGCGAAAATGTAATGGGCGTGGCCAATCTGTGACCTCAATCAAGATGACTAATAGAATAAGGTGTTTCAGAAGATCCCGCCCACTGAGCTGCAGTTTTCAACTCGCAAAACTTTTCAACTCAAAAGCAAAAATTTTAGATTCGCAAAAAATTAAACAAAACCGAAAGCAAAATAAATGAGCACACAGTGCATTAATCTGGTGGTAACCGCATAACATGGCAATAGTTTATTTTTTGTAGTGTGAATTTTTTTAAATAAATGTTTTTTTATTATTTTAAATCTTTAATTTTTTAATTGCATTCTACCTAGTTTTGGTCAAACTTCATATGTTTGTTTGAGTAATAAAGACACAAATTTAACCCCGGCATTCAAGGGTTCAAAACTTTTCAACTCACAAGCAAAATCTTTCAACCTGCAAGCAAAGATTCTTGATGTGCAATAAAAGACAGCAGAAAAGAGAGAAAAATTAATGAGTATGCAATGAAAATTGTGGTAACTGCATAATAGGACAAGTGTTTATTTTTGCAATTCAAAATATTTTATTATCATTGGCCAATTTTTTAAAATTAAACGTGTTTTTTATTTGAAATCTTTAATTCTTTAATTACAACATACTTAATTTTACTTTAAAACTAAATTTAAATTATTTATTATTTGATTGAATAATAAAAAAACAAATCTAGCTCCATAGAAATGCGGCTAATGACTTGTGATGGCTTTGGAGAGTTTAGATGTTGAAAAATACAGTTCTATGAATCACTAGTGGCTGCTTACCTTTGTCTCTTCTTTAGCACAAGCTGTCACCTCATCCACTGCAAATTCTGTCACAGATGACAGGAATGTTATTCAGGTTGACAATGAACAATGCCAATATGGCTGTTCATACTAAAGTAAAACCTTCCTTTCAGTAAAACTTCAATACATTTTTTGTTTGTTTCCTTGTACTAGTTACAGTTCTAAAACCCTTAAAATAAATATCACTATAGGATAACAAATCCAGAAGACTTAGCAAAAGCCTTATCAACAACACACAGAACACTTAAAAAATAATGTCTATGTTTAGTTAACCATTAAAATAATGCACGATTATGCTGGATATTTCTTTTATTTAAAGGTTGTGCTCTAACAAAGTTAAACTCAGGTTAGTCTGGCTCAAAAAGTGGAGTATGATTCTTATATGTAAGGATTATTTTGAGTACTAGCTAACAGGACAATTCATGATCTTAACGTTACCTGTGCATCCAGAGTATCTGTCACTTTTATCGTCCTGCAAGCACAAGTGTGATAATCAGTCAAACATCATGCTCTAACATTACCTTATACTGTCATTACAACTGCAATACTGTAGTATAATTTGACAATAATTAAATATTTAACACTGTGAAATAAGACTAGACATATTCATGACATTTGACTGAAAATTAGCATTTTTTTAATCTAGAAAACTCCCTTATAAAACTAGTAATATTGTACTGAATTAATTTAAATTGTCTCTTGCATTACTGAAGAACAACATTCCTATTTTTGTGGATAAAAGTAAATAGATTTTGCCTGGCCAGAGGCCTGCTGCACGTGCAGGCCGCTAACGTTAACAATAACAAAAATGATCAAAACATCTTGGTAAAAATATGCAGTCTGGCAAGAACATGAATTCAAACAATATTTCAAAAGTAAACGAAGATTATACGTAAATGTACGCAAATACAGTAAACGTTTAATGTACAGTTAAATTGCAAAATCTCTTAGCAATTCCAGCGTTTGGCTTAAAACGCGATCGTAAGAATCTAACTTTAACGTTACAGTTAAAGTTACCCTAACTAATATTATTGTCAGTTTGATACATTAATCTGTACTTTCTGCAAAGCAGCTTCGAGATTATGCCGATTATCAAAAGCGCTTGAGACATAAAATAACGCGATTTTTATGATATAATATAGTTGCAAACAATACATAAACATAAACATTCGAATATATTGAAGTGATCGTACAAATCATAAACTTACCTGTCCTTCAGACATGTTGACGTCTTCGCGCCTTTACTCACAGCATCCTCTCTGACCCTGTCCTGCTGTGTCGCAGGTGTGTGTGTGTGGGGGGAGGGGATGGTCGCGGTGGGGACGCAAAATCTCCGGTCACGTGTAATGTCACACACTCTCCCGCGCTGCTTTAGCGCGGGTCGCCGACTGAACCGCGGTCTGGCGCATGCATATACAGCGGATGGCCGTCAGCAGCAATCCAGCACTGACAGCTCTAATGTGTCAGTCGAACTTTTACTCGAAATTATTCAGCTTATTACCCGAACATATTTGCTCTAACTAAATGAATGCATTATGGTTAAAGGGAATTTTAATAGCTTAACGAAAAAAAGTTATAATTAAGATACAAAGAACCCCCTTATTATTAAATGCTGTATTCTGACAACACATAAATAAATGGATCCCATTTAGAACTATTAAAGAATTC